GTTAGTTGTGGCACGGGTCTTAAGCTCGTTTGGGCATCGAGGTTTTTTATTACACACCCGCGTGTGATGAACAGCAGACGGGACCAATTCCCTAGTCACGAGGACCTGCTGTTCAGTAGTGGCAACCAGCAACCTAATCCCCGGGACTTGGAGTGCCGAACCACATAAGGTCCCACTGTGTTAGGCGTGGCATTGAACCGGACGACAGCAGAGATGCCTACCACCAAAGTCGGGTGGCAGTGATGGGGCTCGAACCTCGGACCACAGGGTCCAAAGCAAGCCGGTGACAGCGGCTAAAGCACTGCGCCACCACCACCCGAGGTTTAATGGGCACCTTGTACATTTACTTCTAGTGGGCGTCTCAAAAGATAGATTGCGGTTTTCACAAACTGCCCCGTTGCCTTACAGATCATACTTTGGCTAGTCTAAGNGTGGATTCCACAAGGGAATTCACCTGCCTTAGCGTGGGCAACCTGGCAGTATTCCCCTAACAAACTCATCATGGAACTCACTTTTTTTATAAAGATTAGTGTATTATGATTTGTTTGGCACACAGCCTAGATTCAAACGTGTGTGAAATGCAAACATATAAGCTGCCTCGTACAACATTTCACGAAACCGACTTATCCTCAAGTGGGACTATCAAAGTTAAGGATACGGTAAGGGGATCGAGGCGATCCCGATAGAAATCCAGAAATGATAGGCACGTAGCACGTGTACCAAGTACAAAACATGTGATTAGATTTTCGCAATCTCAGGTACGCAGGTACGTATCGATCCAGCCAGACATCCGTCTCTCTTTCAAAAGCACAGTGTAACAACGAACGGTACGCCCCGGTTTTCATTTATCCCTTCTGGGACATGGCCCATACGGCAGAAATGCTAAATACACAGCTGGTGTTGGAACACCTACAGGTGTGCCTGGTAGAACAGAAAGATCAGCAATGTAGAATGCACAGATCCAGTTTGTTCTATTTTAGGAGATAGGAATGATAGATACATGTAGTGGTTGCACAGTTTCTTCTTTTTAACAAAGTTATTCAATTATTTTCACCGCTTTCAGGATCTTACAACTAGATGTACGCAGGCTGGAGTGTTCATACTTCAGTTTCCTATCAGAACGATGATANACTTGTGAGTGAACGGAAACGACACGACAAAATCGGAATATCGGTACACAAAGTCATTGGTTATTAGGGTTTAGTTGAGCTCAATGTTCGTGAACAGTAACCTGGAACGCTGTTAAGCTTTTGAAATCATTTGACGACGCCGAGAAGGGAAAAACTAGCAACAGATCGGATGATTGATTATGTCGAATTCCATAGAACCCGCTTGATCGGTAAAAACACCAGGTGACGTATTCGCATGTGAGAATAATTTATTTCAAAATCTGCAAGGAACGAGGCTCAGCATTTGCGACCTTTGCTATGGCGTCCTCCTCAATGGATTTTTTGATCAGTTTTTCCATATTTTTCTTCATTTGATTCATCTCTTGTTGATGTTTCTTCTTCGTGCTAATTGTGCGAGAACCTTTGCGAAGTGGTTTCACTGCTTGTTTGCGCAAAGAGGCCTCGCTTTTCTGAGCTTTCACACCCTCGGGTAACTTGGTCTTGACTTTTAATTTCCCTTGGGCCATTGTATCACATGAGCTAAAATCAAAAATGGCAACATTGAGAAAACTGAGAAAGAATACACAGATAGTATAAGTGAAATCACATGTGGAAAATGTGGCAGAGACCAAACGCGGAAACTGTGAAAGACACGACCAAGTAAGCGGCAGACGAATTTACAGAACACATCTCATGCGTAAAAGCCTGTGAGGTGATGGGAAACCAGTGCATGAGTGAATGTTTCAGTCACAAAACTGCTTCCATGAGAATGTGGTGCTGCCACTACATCCAAACGATGTCCGGTGCGCGTCTCTAAAACGAAAGTATCAGGATTTGCAATTGTAACACATCGCCGTGCGGAGAGTGGTACGGTCAACGTTTCCTGTGAGGAGTGGATATCGGCATCGTACAGTAAAATACAGTGAGGAGAAGAGGGAAGCGAATGGATCTCTATCATCACCACAGAGTATTCAATGTAACAGTACATCAGTGACAATAAATATCCTGCTGTTGGTTAGACGCCATGTTCCTCAGGGTCTCCGATCGACCAGAACACAACTTATGCATCTAACAATAGGCCGGCCCTGCCGACCAAAACATTTCTACCATAATGTCTCGGGTGTTCTTCAGTCTAAGATATTTTGAAACATGGAATTCGCTTATTCACGTTTATCGCAAGAGCGAAGCAATAAAAAGAGCGAAAACCATAACAACTCGTCAGATGCATTTTGCCCACTGTTTAAGAGTATTTTTAATTTATTTATTTCATTACCTAACCAATTACACAGAACTGGCAAATGTGCCATATGAACAAAAAATCGGTAGAATGTGTTCATAGGTTATGGGCATGTTACCTCCAGGCTGCCCTGAACAAGAAAGAGGGATAACCTCGTGACCCCCACCCGAAGCTTATGGCTAGAGAGCCAGACCTACTATACAAAAGACGAAGCAGAGTCGGCAGTTCATTGAGGGCCACTGTCCAGTTCATCGGAACATACACCCTTTGGACGGGGTCAAACACAAAAGATGCCAAATTAAGTTGGTGAATAAGCAATCGACTGACGATGTAGAACGGATAATTTGCCTAGATCCAGCACTGTTACGCAATGCTAGGCCAGCAACCCATGTCGACTGACCGCAGAGTAAAAACAAGAGACGGAAGGAAGAGGAAGGATAAGGGTGAAGTTCTGTTACGATAATAAAGGAGGTAGAGGGAGCCTCTAGTAAGAAAGGGGTGTAAGATAAGGTTGAAAGAGGACAAGTCACAGGACTTGGGGTGGAGCTAGAAGCAGGTCTTGATAGTCGGACCGAAAACTCGTAAAGACATTACACAATCATCCTACATATAAAAACGAAGACGTGGGTATAAATAAACAACAGAGAAATACACAAATTGATAAAGGAAAAACTATAGTTCACAGTAACTTAAAAAAACAAGTGAGCTGAACTGTGAAATGTTTGGCTCGTGTG